ACTTGCATTCGCATCATCGATGGTGTAGACAACATCGATCTAAGTTTGGCTACAGCAAACGCGGTATTTGCGGTTGCTTTCAGTCATCGTCTCTTCTAAAAACAGAATCCATATGAAAAGTTGTTTCTTGGTGACACAGACAAATCATTTCATTTCCGGGATGCCTTGGATATTCCTGTGAATAAACATTTTCGAATCATCACTGTTTTTCATAAAGTTCTTCATTCAATGTATCTGGCAAACACATCATTCTAACTTTGAAGGTCATAAACCGTACCAGGTGACGTTTGTATTTCAATGTGTTTCAACTTCAAGCTGATATGTTAACCGTTTCACAGTTGATCTCTTGGATATATCTCCTCACTCATCCGTCTACACTTCTGAGCGTCACTGGATACTGTTTCAAAGCCTTTGAGTGACGCGTCAGTGGTGGACAAGTTCTAGCAGCTCGACCAATCATAGTGTCCTTGACAGACATTATGCCTTCAAAATTGCTATAATAGGTCGAACTGGAACTCCTTCTTTGTAAATAGTTGGAAAAAATAAAATTGTGTGATTGTGAATCCTAATGTTCTTAGTGACTGGAATATTTTATTGTCTATGTGCCTATGTATCTTTAGGGCCTCCGATGAGAACGTGACATCATAGCCTACATTCTCCAAGTCATCCTTTCTTTCGCCGAATTTCGATAACTTTTATAACCCAAAATGGTTGCAGAAAGTTTTCGAACACAGTCGTTTCTGTCATAACACCAACCCGTTCGTTTATCTCGTTTAAGCAGTATGATATCTTTGTTCCTTATGAGTTTCCTCAAAGAGTGCGCGATTCTATTTGATGTTCTTGAGTGGCATGTTACTTCAATAATATCAGCTGATACAAAAACATCCCGTATTGCAAATGATGAAAATAAACGTATTTTTTCCCTTCAAATGCACTGAGAAATTTTGGATGCAATACTCAAGACAATTGAAAAAGTTTCTATGACGGATTTATCAAACCTTATAACATGAGAAATCAAGCAAAAAGACGCCGGCGTTATTGAATGCCAAAATAAATGGATCTTTTCACATGCTTTAATTGTAGTCACTTGTTTCTGTAGATCTGTTTCGCACGGAAAAAGAGACAATACGCATCGAAATCACGGGAGAAAATACACTGGTCCAATTCCTATACAGCTTCACTTTGTCATGTGACTTGCAACGGATCGATGCATGGAATTTCTGGATCATTTACACATGCCAATATCTGTTCAACTGTGATGATGCATGTCGGCGATAGTGTCTACTCGGCTTGTTAATCAGTTCAGAAAGTTTTAAACAAGTATATAGAAGAGTATTTGTATTAAGTCACATTACAGAATTTCTAGTGCTTGAATTATTCATGATCTGACGGAATTTCGGTTCCTCTCGCACTAACCATAAATATGGCTGAAAAGCATTGATATTCAGGTTCACCATTTTGGGTGTACTTTGATGTTGTATTAATTTTCAACTGGTAATTTTCTATAATGAGAATACAGGCTAGTAAACCAGCTTTTCCCGTGCTCGATCGGTTAGCTGAGAATAGCAGCAACAGCAGTGAAGGTTAGATGTCAAAATGGGAAAGATAATTTGATCAGAATGAATTGATTTGTCTATGATGATTGGTATGCAAAGTGTGTGTTTGTATGGGGGCTAGTTAACCGAAATAGTTTTTCTTTTCGTTTTACTTCCTTTTTGATGAATACACAATGATACAATCTATAGGAAGGGGGGAAGCGGCCAATCAAAGGGCTGGTACTCAACAAACACAGAATAAAGTCGGACTGTGTTGGTGGGATTCGAACACACGTCCCCGAGGTCGATAATTTGGTGACATTACCACCGGGCCACCTGCGATCTAGGATCAAGGAGCACATCACTTGATTGTAGAAGGATGGACATGGAAGTCCTAGGGTCGTTACGAACTGTCTTCGGGGGCATATAATCAAATAAGAAAGGAGATTAATTTAGTCGCGATTATATCGTATTCTATGCACCTCTTATCCGTTCAGATGGCACAAAACCCCGAGGTAAAACAATAGAATTCCGATAGGATGTTGAAATGGGCAAACGTTTTCGAAGAGCGAGCAATCTCGACCAATTTGGAAGAATATACCACCTCTCAACATTTCTCATCATTGAAAACTTTTATGAAGTATCAGCCTCTTTCTTTTAAGTCAATCCGATCCGGCGCCCTGATCAGCTGTCTGATTATCAAGTGATTCGTATGGGTGTGTTTTGTCTATGAGGTATCAGGTTCGATCCTCGGTTGAGTGGATAGATTCAACCTATTGCTGAGACTCATTTAGGGCAAAGTAGTTTCATAGCTTTTCAATTTACGGCAGTTCATAGTTACAGCAATATTCATCACATAATCAAATCAAGTCATCCATTAGTCTTATGTAACATTTGTAGCTATCTAGCATCATTCTAAGTTAACCTTCTGACACATTGGATTAGCTGGTTTGTTCACCTTATTTTTTTCAAATCTGAACCTTCGTCCGATTCGTACGATAATTCAACCGACAGATTTCAACGTTTTTCAAGATCGTTCTCAACCAATTGGATGCAATCAAGTAGGAGTATCTAATTCTGACAGAAAAAAGAGTTTTTGGATATCGATATAAACAGAGAATTGTGAATTTCATCTGATCTTTGTGATAGTAGAGTTGGTGGTGGTGCAGTTTCAGTTTCAGTTTTTACAACCATTAGCCATGATTTTTCATGCGCCGTTTTTGGTTGATGTCTTTTCATGCCTCATTTGAATAAAAGTGTAAAATAAAGATTGGGATGTTAATAGCAAATTCAAGCGGAAGGTGGAGAATTCATATAGAGTGGTGTTAGGAGATAATGAGTGGGTGCCTTAACGCCACTGTTTGCGACACCCAGCCATATCATTCAGTGTCTCTAACCATCGGTCACCATCATCTCGGGTTCCCCATCCAGGATGGTGGTAGAGTCAGGATTCCGGATAAAACTGGGAGACCCGTGATGCATCAGGCTTCGTCATTTCTGTTCGATTTGTCTGGCAAAGACGGACGATCTTTTTTGGCCGGGATACCGCCGTTCAATGTTTGAAGTGCTGCGTTGATAAGTAAACCAAACTCAATCCATGGACGACATTATTAGAATTCAGTTCACAAACTGTATGACTTCACAGTCTTTTGCAGCCTCGACATAAAAACTTTTGAAATGAGTGTCATATCTGCGCTGCTACCATCTTGTCTGAGTGTCGGACAAAAGAAAAGTTTCTCATTAACGTAACCGTATTTAGGTATTGCTTTTCGTGTATATTTCGCTAGGACGAGCGAACCGCTCAAAAATTTTAATTATTCATCATCTACCTTCTCGGACTGCACACGTTACCTCCATCTTTTTCAACATCGCTGTGTTAGCAACAAGTTATGATTTGTGGAATAGGCTGTTGTAATCCAAGGATAACGACTGTCTGTCATTTTCGTTCCATTTTTCTAACAATTATGAGCTAGAAGAAATATGTTTTTGCGCTTGTGATATATCAGACATGTTTGTTATTTCGGCTATGGAGCCTTCACGTGTACTACCGTCAGCCGGAGAAGCCAAAGTTAAAAAAAGTTTTTTAAAAAGTTTAAAGTTTAAAGTTATTTTAGTTTAGTTTTAGTAAGTTTAAAGTTTAGTTTAGTTTCAAGTTTGCCATTTTCAGGTTACTTATTATACGGCTTGGAACATACCAGTGGCTCATGGGAAGAGTCGAGCAAAAGCGCGTTTCCATGTTTCTTCTGTTGGCAATCCTTACACTGTTCCAAAAATACGCAAAAATCGGTACTTTATTTTCAGTGGGTTTCCAAACAACCGGTAACAAATTGCTCGACATTCTAAAGTAGGCGCCTCTTGTTCACACCACGCTGCGTAGACGAGACACTGAAACTCTTAGAGGCTGTCCGGGTGTAATTTCCCTTCCGTTCTGGTTTGTTCTGAAATTTAACTCCGATTTTCAATTTGCCTGTTGATCACAACCTTTTTTGCTGGACGTTAACAATCCAAAAGATGCCGTAACCGCATAGTTGGAGATACTCAAGGTCATGGCAGCAAACCGACAGCAGTGGCGATCTTGCTGACACAGTAATATGTATGCACGGTCGGACTGTGTACTCTGTGTTGACTATAGAGGTTCGCTTTCGTTTCCCTTCACTAAAAGTAACCATTAACCGTGCACTTTTGTGCGCCAGTTTTGGTTGCTACCTTTTGGTTGCCCATTTGGATAAAACATCATTCTCGCATACCTGGTATGCATTGCGAGTTTGGCAGCGATCAGTGAAGTTTGCTTTACTCTATTACGCCGAACAATGATGATGATGACGATGATCTTGATGACGAACACTGGTCATCGGGTTTATCAGGTTGCAACATGAACAGAGACATTTGCCACTGCAGGCATAACAAACTGGCACAATTAATGATCATGTTATCTCATGAATACCTACCACTGTGAACCAGTTTATTTCTCCGCCTACGTAATCCTAGGTTGACTGGATGTGCGCAGCATGAAAACGTCTGTTGCAAAATCCGAATTCACACAGAGATCGATTGCTTCCGCTCCAAACATTTTGCTGCTAAGCTATAAGGGCAGTTCTAAAGATTATGTTTATAGCATCCATACAGACTGGGACAATTGGTTTCGAACCCGAGCTACCTAATGATTTAAGTCGCTTATCAAACAAAGCAACTAACGAGGCTTAGAAATATTTTGGTTTCTACCCATTGGATCCCTTGGTTCACGGGCCTTTCGGTCTATGACAAATCCTAGTTATGAAAGAAAATAAATAAAATAACATCATTCAAATAAATCTGGATAATTTATTTGTTTACAGTTAGAAGAATAGAATTTTTTCAACAGCTATAAACCCACTTTTTCTCATTTTCTTCTGTGCCCTGTTTTGAGCGGGGGAATTGGACGCGTGTCGATGTGGGGAAGACGGTTGTGTGCAGATCTTGTTCTTCCTAGCCTGCTTTGAACAACAGAACGGCTTTATCATTGAAGACGAAGTCCAGGAAATTTCCAATTTCGTATGAAACAAAACTGTGGAAATGAAAAAAAGGAAAAAGTAACCCAAAAGAATAGATGATATACAATCACACAAAGACGACACTTCTCCTGTTTCTATTCTCTTTTGATTCCTGTCACTCCGCAGGGCTTCATTACGATTGACAACAAGTTAATAANAATAAGAATGTGAACACGCGACACTCACCTGCCGTAGGTCTTTCCAACCACACAGTGCCATGTGCTATCGTAGTGAGAATCAAACTCTTTCTTGATATACTGCGCTATATCAGAGTCTGTGTTGTATCGCTCAAATGCTTTCCGTGTAGTCTCCAACGCGTAGTCCAGCATGGCCTCGTTCATCTCAGTTTTTACTTCCTTAGCCACAGGTTCTTTGTTCATATTTTTCCGAGATGTTTGGTCGACTGGAGTTGAGTGATCCGGGCAAGAAACCAAGTGGACTAACCAAAAGTCACTGCTCTCAGTCGCACGTAGACGGGCACAGTAAAAGAGTAGTGTGAATCGGCAGCGCAGTGAGACACTTTTAGAGCGAAATCTGGTGCCGGTGGGTGGAGCAAAAAATTGATTGCATGTGAGATCTGATTGGTCATTTTGAGGTGTTGATTTGATTGTGAGTATGCGGTACATGTGCATTCTGTTTTCATGAGCACACAAAACAAATACAGTTATAGATTGAGCAGTACACTCCAAAATCCGTTGGTCTCATGAGCACAGGTTATGAGTCTGTGCTGCTGGATGAGAGTGATTTGTGATGGTGGCAGAATTTTTACCAAGACTCAGTCTCTACAGAAACACATTGATTGAGAAAGGAATGTGTGATGCGAATGACGATTGAACGAGCCGTAAGTGGATTTAATCATTGAGTGGACTGTGTTGAGTCGAGAGGGAGCCGGTGGTGTTGTTGATGGTGACGATGGCAATGGGGGGTTGTCAAGTATGTGATTCAGAAGCTACTTACGGACTCGTAGTGGACCGTTGTAAGCCTCATTTCGCGACTCGATTTCGGTCGGCGTCAGTAGGCTTCATCAACAGAAAATTGGTCATTGTCACCGGCAAAGTGAATTCCATAAATGTTTATAGTTTTGTTATTTGCGGTTAAATTGTATGTCATTTATTGATTTATTATGCGTTGAACTATTTATCAGACAACGGAATAGCACTAATAAGACCATGTGGTTACTTTTGATTTTGACATGAAGCTATTCCAACAGATTCCAAGTTAGATTATTTAATTTGTTCTGCAAACAAACTGAGTCAGATCCAAATGAATCGAAAGAAACGACTTCTGTCAAACTATGCAAGACAAACTGAATTTTGGACTCTGATAGAAAATCTTACCATTTCCATTGATATTATTATTATTATTACTAGATAGAACCTATTTTTCTCTTGTGAACAGTCAACAAATTCAGTACTGGAAGAATTTCGCAAACTCCTCCAAGCGATTATCCAAAAGAAATCAGGTATCCAATTCAGATGCTCTGGTATAAAGGACTGCACGTGATCTGCGGGTCAAAATTTCCACCCGGAATCGAGAAGATACACCGCGGAATATCAACAATATTCCATATAAGTCGTGTCATTCCCTGATGGTTCGTATGCGAACAAATTTAGAGAACTAGGACGATTTCAAGTAGAATATAGTTAATTTGGGTCCAGTTCAACAAGGATGACAAAACCTTCTGACAGTGAGTTTTCTCATCCAGTCCATAGGATCGTTCAAAAGCACCATGATTTTTATAAACATCAAGAATACCTGTTTGTCAATCAAAAAAATCATCTGGTTGAATCATTACGAAGTATGAATGTGGAACACAACATTTCTTGCACTTAGAAGATAAGGAAAAAAAACTGCTTGTGGATAAATTAACTAAATTATAAATGTGGGTAATGGAGGATTTGGTTAGATTTCAAATGACAATTCGTCGTGGACAGAACGCAAACGTGCTACCCACTACGCCACCGGGCAGCTGATCAGATCGTTTTTCAATTTCCATTTACACGAAGTCCCGGGTTCGATCCCCAGTCGGGTCGATGAATCCGCACTGTTGATGAGCCCCAAACAGGTCGAAGCAGCTGTCCAGTGCTTCCGAGCTTTTCAGTTCACGCTTCATTTGCTATATACACGACGACTTGTCATTTTAAATTATAAATATAAAAAGGGAATGCAATCTTGAAAAAGTATATAAAATTCTCAACTGGCTCATTGTACTTCTTCCACCAAGGGTTCTTCAATCTACGTTTGCTTCCCTTTGGAGAACGGAACGACTCACGAATTTGATGTGCTAGTGCTTTCCAAACATAACTCGAATCTCAAACATATGAGGAACGCCAAACAAATCAAATGAGCATCCCTTTTCCCCATAGCTGGTATCACTCCATTGACTTTAGTGCCCAAACAATTCAGGCTGAAGTGCTGATACGGTAATCGTTTAGTTGCAAGTGAAAAACTCTCGTGGTAAATATGATCTAGACTGGTTTTAGCTCGAGAGGCGGACGTTTCTTCCAAAGGGTACTGCGAGTCGGAATGCGGTTTTACAGGCCAGCTAGGCTAGACACCATCAGTGCAACGTAGTCTCTGTCCTCTGCATCAGTATCCTTAGTCCGAGACAAAGCGACTCTGACCCCGTAAGCATGAAATGGGAAGGTCTGTCATGGACTAAATGGGGCACATACACAGGCCTTGGAAATCTGTGAAAAATAGGGATACATTTCGGTTGCATAGTTTTCTTGTAATCCATGGACCAAGTCGGTGTTTTCGTTCGTGATGAGAACCAATATTTATTTTTACTAATCTTGATAATTTCGTGTTACATATTGTACTTTTATACTACAATCACTCATACACCGAACTACAAGGTGAATTCGTATCAGTTAGAAGGGACTGTGGATGCAAAATGCAAAACTCAATTAGAATATTCCTTTCTTGATTAGTTTTTAATTCTCATCATCGGATAATTTGTAGAAACGTATAAATTTATAAACCAGCTGTAGAAAATAGTATAATGATTATAGAGATTGCTTCAGTCCAACTGTTGGTTCAAAATCGATAACCTTGAAGAGCAATCTTCCAATCAAAATTCGGTTTGTTTGGAAGAAATTGCAGATGTAGTTTTGCATTTTTGCTTTATTTCTTTCGTATTTGACTTTTCAGTGAAATCTAATTGATCTGGTCGTGTGGTCTTTGTCAATCACTTTGTTCAGCACTCCACAACAAATGTGTATCCTATGATGATACATTAGTAGAGATAAATGGGTCATTAGCAAGATTTCAACCGTACTCTATTTCCAGCGTCCTTTTATGTTATTTTTTTAATAATTAAACTAACTTTTTGCATGTACCGCTTATTTAATCAAGCCAATGACACAGTCGGGACAGATGAGAACCGGGTTAAAATCCCGCTGGAGTTCAACAATAGTGCATGTCCATTGATCCCCATTGGATTTGAAATCTGAACCCTTGCATGGAATATGTCTGTGTGTGTATACTACTACTGTTCCAACCTGCTCGAGTCAGATATCATCGAAATTACCAAGTGTGTATTAGAAACAGAACATTTTGGAGCATTAAAAAGGAAAAACAGCAGTAACAACAACAGGCTATTGCAATATGTACAATCGAAAGAATTTTGTTCAACCATATCCAGACGAATCGCAGTGCCAACAAAACGAATGACTCGCGTAACATTTGCAGACAAAAAGGTCCTGGAAAAAGTTTTTTCTCTAATTACCTTCTTAAAAAGATTCGTGTAGAACGAGAATACTTCTAGATGGGCCCTGGATGAGGCGTACACAATACCGCACTAACCCAACAAACGCACGACAATCGGAGAACAAACGGGTTGTTCTAATTCATGGAATCCCTCAACTGGACGATCCAGACGAAGCCGTATGCCAACAAAACGATTGCGAGGAATAGTTTTTCTTTCGAGAACTAGTTAATTGTACCCAGGTTCCATCAGGAATGTCGCTGTTCAGACGTGATCGTCCTACACGAGGCAGTGGAGTGCTTCTGTATCATTGTGTGAACAGTGTGAACAGCTTGATATTCCCGACGCAACTCCCGATATGTTATGGTTTTCAGTAAGACTCTCCAAAAACTATAGATGTCCAAGCGGCATTTTGTACCGACATCCCGCATCTTCAGACTTAGCCAACGGGATTCTGTTGCAAACCATGAGTAATATATTATCACTAAAGTTCACCCATGTCCTCATAATGGGTGACTTTGACTGCTCCACTCTCATCAGAATGAGGACTTCCCGCCAGCNCGCCAGCCATTCGAGAGACAATTATCTCAGTTAATTAGATTGCATCCATTGTACAACCACGTAACAGAACAAACCAGATTTGGAGCAGATCACGTATCATCAACACTGAATTTAGTGCTGACTAACGAGGAGTTGATGATGGAATCTGTCAATGTCACGTCTCCACTAGGACGTAGTAATCATGCCGTACTGATGTTTGATTATACAGGCTACGCATCTACCCAAGAGAACCGAAAGAGCGGTACTCGTGCCATCCTAAACTACAAGAAGCTGCAAAACCTGGCAATAATTAAGCAATGGATCCTTTCAGAAGATGATCCCGAGCCTTTGGTGGCATAAAAGAGCTTCATTGATTAGCTTACCGAAATTGTAACGACTGAAACATAGAAACTTGTGTCAAATCTAAAACTTGTCATTCATTCATTCATTCGCATTTGAACAAAGAAA